CCTCCTCTCCCTCTCTACCTCCCTCTCTTACTTACACTAACATCTTTCTCTTTCGCTGCAGGAGTGTAAGTTGAAGTACGAGCGCCTGCTGCACGTAGAGGTGGACAGTAACTCATGTACATCCTCCCTCCCTCCCTCCTCTCCCTCCCTCCCTCTCTCCCTCCCTCTCTTACTTACACTAACCTCTCTCTCTCTCTCGCTGCAGGAGTGTAAGTTGAAGTACGAGCGCTTGCTGCACGTAGAGGTGGACAGTAACGGCGGCGCGAGCGTCGTTCACGCCTACGTCAGCGAGGTGGCGCCGCTCAGCGATCGCGAGCAGCTCGAATTCGTCGACGAGTACTTCGGCGTCGTGTGGAGGGAGAGCGACGCGGGCGTGGCCGACCACGTGCTGGGCGTCGTCCACGGCGCCGCCGCACACCTGCCCGACCTCGTCGAACACTTCGGCAGCCGCCACGCGGCCATGCCCGTCAAGGTGAAGGTCGGGCGCGGCGGAGGGTGAGGGTGGGGGTCACGCGCGGGGGAGGGGGAGGGTGGGGGTCACGCGTGGGGGGAGGGAGGGGTCGCGACGGAGAAGGGGGATGGAGGTGGTCGCGGCGAGGGAAGGGAAGGGGAGGGGAGGGGAAGGGAGGGGGTCTCGGCGAGGGGAAGGAAAGGGGAGGGGAGGGGAAGGGAGGGGGTCTCGGCGAGGGAGGGATGGAGTATCATTCATTATTATTAATAATGTTTGTTTGTTTATGTTAGTATTTGTTATTATCATGTTATAACTAGTAGCGATTATCATTTATAATTAATTATTCATTATCATATATTATTAATCGTATAAGGTAGGTATAAGTATATATGTTATTAATTGTTATCTAGGTGGCGACACTGGGCAGCCCGCAGTGCCACACAATGACGATGGGAGAGTGGCGCGACCTGGTGCACGGTTCGTACGGCGCCGGAACGTTCCGCTGCGGACCGCTACTACAAGTCAGCGTCGTCGGCACCGTACATGAGGAGGTGAGAGTCATTCGTAGAGGTCGACGGGGAGGGAAAGGGCAAGGAGCAGCGAGGAGGAAGCGAAGAGAGAGCAGGAGAGGAAAGAGAGGAGAGAGGGAGAGGAGCCAGGAGAGGGGGAGGGCGAGGGGAAGGAGTGGAAGAGGAGAGGAGGGGAGAGGAGAGGGAGGGGGAGGGGGAGGAGAGCAGAGAGAGAGAGGGAGGAGAAGGGAGGAGGAGAGAGGAAGGGGAGGGGACTGTTCCGCTGCTACAAGTCAGCGTCGTCGGCACCGTACATGAGGAGGTGAGTCATCGTAGAGGTCGAGGGGCGAGGAAGCCGGAGCGAGAGGGAGAGGAAGGCGAAGAGAGGAGAGGAGAGGAAGAGAGGGGAGGAGAGGAAGAGAGGAGAGGAGAGGAGAAGGGAGGGGAAGGGAGTGGAAGAGGAGAGGAGGGAGAGGAGAGGGAGCGGGACGGAGCGCAGAGCAGAGAGGAGAGAGGCGCTAGGAGAAGGGAGGAGGATGCAGAGGAGGAGGGAGGGGACGTTCGCGCCCTACAAGTCAGCGTCGTCGGCACCGTACATGAGGAGGTGAGTCATCGTAGAGGTAGAGAGGAGGGGAAGGGAAGAGAGGAGAGGAGAGGAAGGGAGGAGAGGAGGGGAAGGGAGGAGAGGGGAGGAGAGAAGTGAGAGGAAGAGAGCGAGAGGAGAGCGAAGGGGAAGAGAGGAGAGGGAGACGGCGAAGAGATGGAGCGCGAGGGGGCAGGGACGAGCGCGGACTGTTCCGCTGCCGGACAACGTCAGCGTCGTAGGCACCGCTACATGGAGGAGCGAGTCATCGTAGAGCGTAGAGCAGGAAGGCGAAGGGAGCACGAGAGGAGAGGAGAGGAAGAGAGGGGAGGAGAGGGAGGGAGGAGAGGAGAGGAGGGGAAGGGAGGAGAGGAGAGGAGAGGAAGGGAAGAGAGGAGAGGAGAGGAAGAGAGGGAGGAGAGGGAGCAATGCTACACACGCCGGGGAGTGACGTTATTACACACTGAGTAGAAGCGGGGGGGGGGGGCTGATACGCGACACGTGACCTCTAGTGACCTCCCGTGACCCCTCGCACGACCTCACGCGACCTCGTGCGTTTCAGGTCGGCGACTACTTCCCGGAGTTTCTCGCCATGCTGGAGTCGTGTAAGTTCCTGCGCGCGGTAATGCCGTGGGGCCGCATGTCCGTGCTCGACGGCCAGAGTCCGCGCAAGAGCAACGACGGACCCATCCTGTGGGTGCGCCCCGGCGAACAGATGATTCCCATAGACAAACACAAGTCGCCGAACAAGCGGCGCCGGTGAGTGGTCGCGGCGCATTGCCGTGTTTTCTTTTTTTTAGCCGGATCAAGATAAACGATTAGTTTGTTAGTTTATGATGTTATTAATCGGGTGATAATGAATAATAGTCGTTTATACTAGTTACTATATTATATGTAATTAAAACTACTCGAAAATATAATAATGTAAGTATCAACTATTATAATGAAACAATAGAATTATGTAACAATTGGAAGAAAATCGTCAAGGAGGTGATTGTCATCCGTGCCCGTACAGTGGCGCCATCTCATACTCGCTTGCATGCTGACACGGTTCCACGGTGGCGCCCTCTTGCAGGGCGAGCGAGCTGAAGAGCCTCGGCATCATCTCGCGCGTGACCGAGCCGCGAGAGACCTTCATCGAAGATCGGACGCCGTTCCACGCCGACCACGTCGGAGCGGGGTTCGACCGGCAGACGACGGCGGCTGTCGGACTGCTGAAGGCCGTGCACTGCGGGCAGCCGTGAGTAGCTAGTGCAGTGGCGTGTGTGCGTGCGTGCGTGCGTGCGTGCGTGCGCACTTACACGTGCGTACATGCGTGCGTGCGTGCGTGTGCACTGTGTGTGTGCGTGTGCGTGCGTGCGTGCGTGTGTGTGTGCGTGCGTGCATGCGTGTGTGTGCGTGCGCGTGTGTGCGTGCAAGTGTGCGTGCGTGTGCACTGTGCGTGCAAGCGTGCGTGCGTGCAAGTGGGTGTGTGCGTGCAAGTGCGTGCACATGTACATTTATAAATGTGTATCTGTATGTGTATATCAACACGTATGTTTATGTATTTATATGTGTGTGTGTGTGTGTGTGCGTGCGTGCGTGTGTGCGTGCGTATCATACATGTACGGAAAATCTATAACGTACTCAAAATGATATAGGCTGCGATATAGAGTTGTACATATAATATAAAGTGTGTGTTTGTATATTATACTACGTA